GGGGGGGCCGGGGGGGCCCCGGCAGCCGGGGGGCACAGCAGGGCAGCCAGCGGGCACAGCACGGCTCCGCCGCCGCCGCCACCGGGCATGTCCCCGGGTGGACGGGGCAGGAGAGCCTGGCCGAGAGCGACCCCGAAATCTGGAGCCTGGTGCAGAAGGAGAAGGATCGGCAGTGCCGGGGGCTGGAGCTCATTGCCTCTGAGGTGGGGGCCGGGGGGCTTGGGCGGGCGTGGGGACGGGCCCAGGGGACCCCTGCTCGAGGGGGGGGGTTGGCGGCTCCAGCTCTGACCCCCAGTTCTCCTCCAGAATTTCTGCAGCCGGGCGGCGCTGGAAGCCCTGGGCTCCTGCCTCAACAACAAGTACTCGGAGGGCTATCCTGGGAAGAGGTAAAGTGGGGAGGGGGCTGGGGGGGCATCAGGGGGCCCTCTGCAGCCAGGATTGAGATTCCCCCCAGGGGGGGCTGCCCTCTGCACCGGGGCTCCTGTGGGGCACGGTGGGTGGGGGGCTGGCGGGGGGAGCCCCCATGACCCCGTCCCGTGTCCCCCAGGTACTACGGGGGGGCCGAGGTGGTGGATCAGATCGAGCTGCTGTGCGAGCGGCGGGCGCTCGAGGCCTTCGACCTGGACCCCGCGCGCTGGGGCGTCAACGTGCAGCCCTACTCGGGGTCCCCGGCCAACTTCGCCGCCTACACGGCCCTGCTGCAGCCCCACGACCGCCTGATGGGGCTGGACCTGCCCGACGGGGGCCAGTAAGTGAGGCTTTGGGGGGCCTGGAGCCCGCTGCCTCCGGGGGGTCCCGGGCTCACCCCGCACCTTCCCCGCAGCCTCACCCACGGGTACATGTCCGACGTCAGGAAGATCTCGGCCACCTCCATCTTCTTCGAGTCGATGCCCTACAAGCTTGATGTGAGCTGAGGGGCAGGATCCGGGGGGAAGGGGGCCTGTGGCTGTGGGTGATCCCAGTGGTGCCCTGAGGTGCCCAGGCTGCTCCGGCAGCTCCTGCCCTGCCCTCCGTGCCCCAGTGAGCCCCAGCTGTGTCCCCGTGCCATGGGAGATGCCCGTGGCTCAGCCAGAGGTGCTGTGCTTGGAGCGGGGGGCAAAGGGGTGCCTTGGTGAGCTGTCTGTCTGTCTGTCCATCCCTTCCTGGGCTGACTGAGCTTTCTTGTCTGTCTGTCCATCCCTCACAGCCGGCCCTGGGGCTGACTGACCTGGCTGTCTTCTCTGTCCATCCCCGGGCTGACAGACAGGGCTGTCGGTCTGTCTGTCCGTGCGTCCGACCCCGGGCTGTTTGTCCCTGGGCTCGCTGACCGAGCTGTCCGTCCCTCCCAGCCGGCCGTGGGGTCGAGTGACCCGGTTCTGTCTGTCCGTCTGTCCCTCCCAGCCGGCCGTGGGGTCGAGTGACCCGGTTCTGTCTGTCCGTCTGTCCCTCCCAGCCGGCCGTGGGGTCGAGTGACCCGGTTCTGTCTGTCCGTCTGTCCCTCCCAGCCG